TGTTTATCTAAATCAATTAACTCACATTTTTATCTTGCAACCATGCATTTAATTAAGTGGAGTTGAAAGGTCGCCTGAATTTGTTTTTAGAGTGTGGAATCGCTGCTAAATTTGATAAACTCACACAAACGTTTGAGCACTTCCTCTTTCTAAGCTGATTCACCGCACTTAATCTAATAGTAGTGTACCTTTCTTACTGTCCTAATGTGCACATGAATGTAATGACTGCTTTTTGGTCTTTTTTTTTCTTAGTTATGTTCTTAATGCTTAACAAAACAAAATCTTATACCATGGTCTTTGGTACCAGGCAGAAGCTCAAATCCAAACCTAATGTACTAATAACATGTAAGGATGGCACTTCTCTACATAAAGTTGATAGCTTTACATATCTTGTTGTATGGCTAGACTCTGAACTTTCATTTAAACTACACATAAAGCATGTAATACAAAAAGTCAATTACGGAATCGGGGTTTTACACTGCTCTCGCAATTGTGTTACGCTCAGTGTCCGAAAGAGAATTGCTTCTCAACTTATTCTTCCGATTATGGACTATTGTGATGTTGTCTACCAAAATGCACAGAAATCAGATCTTGCTTCAACATAGCCTACAGCAGACTATGCAGATTTGTTCTTGGTTGTCCTTTTCGTACTCATCACTGCACAATGTATAATGTATAACTTAAATGGCCTTCTTTAAATGTAAGAAGACACACGCATTGGCTTCAGCTGATATATAAATGCATTTATCTTAACTATCCCCCTTATTTAAAGCAGTATTTTGTACCCATCTCACCAAATCATCAAGTTAGACATTCTGTTCAGATTTATTTCTCTGTCCCCTCTGCAAAAAAATTGATTGGCAGAAAAGCGTTTATTTTCAAAGCCCCAACAGACTGGAATACTTTACTGCTATTAGATCCCTTGCATCATTGGGTATTTTAAACATGCATTGTTATCTCACTTTCAACTGGTCTGTACTTGTTATTAACTGATATTGATGAAACTGATTTGCTCGACTGTCTCAAATTGTAATGATTGTGTGCATTGCTTGAATTTTACTTAACAGACTGTATTTGGTTTGTCTTGTGTGTCATGTTTTGCATTTTGTCTTTTTGTTTATGTATGTCTGTAAGTTGTTTCTATTGTCGGGACCCCCTTGGAAACGAGGTGGTGCATCTCAAGGGGTTTATCCCAATGAATAAAAATGTCTATATATGTTCTCTGTATTTTATATGTTTGTGTTATGTGTTATGTGTAACGTTGCTGCCTTCTTGGCCAGGTCAGCATTGAAAATGAAATGTTATCTCAATGCTTTTTCATCTGGTTAAATAAAAGATAAAAATACTGTGTCAGACCTTTATCTTGTCCATAAATGCACATACCTGAATTAATTGGGGCCCTGTATGCTCATTGTACAAAGAGAGGATGGAGCGGAAAGGTTAACAGGATATTTAAGATTACAGGGATGGGAGAATTCATCACTACATAAAGTCTGTGGATTATCCTGGGTCATGATTTCTGAAAAAATAAGTTTAGTTTGTCAAATGTACACTTTTGGAGCTTTAAAACCTTTTAGTTCTATTATTCGAATGAAGATATCTTTACGACTGATATTCCCAACAATTGGCATTTTTCACCAAAACAATCTAGAACTATAAATAACCCACACTTGAGAAAAATACATCGATTTGATTTTGAGGTGAATTGTCCCTTTTTATTTTAGAGAGAGGAGGGAGGAGAGGTGGTCTGACTAAAGCCCAGTCAACTTTATTGTTGTTACTGCACACTACTAGGAAAAATAAGTACTTTATAATGGTAGATGAACTGTCCCTTAAAATATATATATATTCTAAAAGTATTTCATTTGGATAGCTTTGGTTTCCATACCTCACTCTTATCACCTTTAGTAAAAATGTCTCTATTTTAATTTTCCTCTTCTACTTTGTACCGCTGACATATTTCCAACTCCAGATCAAAGCAGGGTTGCGTCCTCCTGGAATGCATTTATGCTAATTTCTCCACTGTTAGAGCTCATATAAACAACATTTTAAAAATATATTTAACCTAGTTATTTATTTACATAACCAAGATAAGATAAAGGCCAATACATCCAGAATAATTACAAAAAGGGGATGATAGAAACACATTTGACTAGTCTAAATGTATAGTTTTGGGAAACATGTTAATACATGAAGAAGACACACACCTGCACTTATCCTAACCCTTAAGAGAGCATACTTTTTTAATAATGACCGAATCTATAATGTTCTCTTCTGGTTTTCTCCATCAGATTTACAGTGACGGGAGAAAGTTGAGCCTTACAGACCCGCTTCCTGCTCCGTACAATGTGTCCATATGTTCTCTGCAGCTCCAAACCTGCGCACCTGATGACGCAGCAGTCTGGCTGTCTGCTGCAGCGTCATGTGCGCACTACAACACATCCATGACTACAACAACCAAGTCCCACCATGCAGCTCTTACCTGGCTCTCATCCTATCATCCTCTAGGTATTTTTTGAATTTAAATTATGTATTTGTTTTCCCTAAAATGCGACTCTGGTGCGCAGGAATAGGCTACATGCAGGAACTATTTTCCAGGTCACAGACTTCTATATAATTCATGACCTCTCTGCAGCTCCAGCACATCCCATACTCATCCACGTGGCTATGTATTTAACATATCACACACAAATATATCACAAATGCGGCACTAACTATGAGTGCATCGTAACCGGGTCATTCGGTGGTTTTGCTGCAGCTGCGCCATGCCGACCCGTCCCGTCTCCGCCGCTGGCTGCTGGCATAATTTGCAGACGGCAGGAGGAGGGGGAGGGGGGAGGAGGGGTTTACTGACATCAGCACTGCCGGTCACTACAGCACCGAGCAGGCTGTCTGTCTGCTGGACCAGCCACGCCATCCATTTATCATGACGGGATTCACGGATGTCTGGGCTCGCACTGCGGGGTTTGGGTTGTGTGGAAGCGGACAGTTCGCGCGCAGAGGCGTCGGTGGAGGACCAGGGCTCTTCCGTGCAGTTTGAGCGGTGAGTTTGCTGTGTGTTTGCAGCAGACAGCAGGGCAGACTGGTGCAGGGCGAGTTAAGTCGGGCACGCTGTCTGTCTGAAGTTCATATTCGCCTAGTCACACTTGTTGTAACTGATAGCTCTCTGTCAGCCTGCTAATCATAGTGGTGAGGGATGCTTTCAATTCATTTTCATTAGAATATTCTTACTTATTTTGAAGTTTTGAGCATGCTTTGTACTTAATTAATCTCTGACTTTTTAAACAAATAATTTCAAGTTGGATATATTTCAGTATATAAATGCATTTTAATCCTTAAATCTGCATAAAAGTGTGTGATGTTAACCTCTACAACTTCATTTTAAGTTTGCAGGAGCGTGTGTCTGCTCCAGGAGGCTGCGCAGACAAGAAAGGCGAAGCAGCAGGATTTCACACAGCAGAGTGCACATAGGGACACTCAGGATTAGAAGCCAAATTCTGCACTGCAGTGGATTTTCCTCAGGTGTGTGTGAGTGTGTGTATAGGAGTATGCAGGCGTCTGATCTGACAGAGGACTAAGTAGGCTTTGTTCACTTTCTCGTTAAAACCGAAAGAACCCACAGGAGCTTTGGGGAACGTCTGGAGGTCGCCCCGTCCTAGAAAACTGTGCCACACTCCAGTTTCAAGACCACCTAGCCCCCCTCTGCCTTTTTCTTTTCAAATCACAGGCAAAGTGTGGTGGCTGGTAAGTGGTCTGCCCATTTGGAGGCCTCAGACTGGAGAGCTTTGACAGACTGGTGGATTGATACGACGGATTTTTAAAGAACTGCATTAAGCCAAATCTACATTTTAAAGCAAAAGGCCAGCTGGTCAATTCAGCTTCACTATACTTGGAGGACTTACATTTTTGTATAAAGAAGGTTGGACATTCCCTTCAAGCTTTTGTGGGACTAAGCAAAGGTGTCAAATTTCACCTCAGGGATCAGATTTTTATCATTTTTCACTGTGTCATTCAAGTCAGCACCAAACAGCAAATCTCAGGCGGCTTTACAAGTTGGACAGGTTACGATAGAGTTTCACCTCAGGGATTTTTTAACTAACAGTTTCCTTTTAGTATTTTTCCAAGACATTTATTTCATTTTCAACACAGCAAATCTCAGGCAACACCTTTATTTTTGGTTTTAAAACAGTCCTATGAGCTCCTGTAACCATGGCATCCGACAGTTTCCAGTACCGGGTGCTCTTTGAATACAAGCGGGAGCGCGGTGATGACATCAGTCTCCAGACGGGCGACCTGCTCACTGTCCAAAAGGCAACACTGATGGCCATGCCAGGGCTGGACTACCAGGATGGGGACGAGCGTAGTCCGAGAGGCTGGCTGCACGGTACCAACGAGAGGACCAAAGAGACGGGAGACTTCCCTGGGACTTTTGTGGAATACATCGGGTTGAGAGTTGGCCTTCCTGCAGCCAAATCCTGGCCCAGGCCTATACCACCGATCCCCGGGGGGCCACACACCGATATGGGGGCTCAGCCTCCTGGAGCAGCTGCTGCTTCAGGTGAGTGCTGCCCACACGGACACAGTTGAGCACATCATGGGGATGTTTGGGTTCTCTATATTGATTCTCCTACACTGATCAGTTGGAATGAATTCAACAGGACTGTTTTTCATGAAATCCACATTATTGGATCAAAAACATTTTGTCTGATGTTTGACGTTGATATGTGTGGAGTACTAGTGTATTTTATGAAAGAGTATGGTATTGGTATCAATTGTCTGGTTCAGTTGCTCTCAAACTTATCGGCTTTGTTTGCTTGATGTGGCTGTGGCATGACCCTGAGTTGTTGTTCAAACAGTTCAACTGTTGGCCTTAAAAGGTTGGCCTTAGGGTTTCTTTGACCCCAGTTGTGATTCAGCTTTTTGGGGACCCATTCTGCTTCTAGATCACTTTCCACATTTATAAAACTCTACACTGACCCCCTAAGGTTGTGTGTGCAGAGGTGGACCAGAAAAGGCCCAAGGGGGTTAATTTTTTTCAGGTTTTTTTCACATGTTTCACTAATGGTAGACACTCCATACTTGCTACAAATGTTTTCAAGACTTCATGCATTAAAGAACCCGGAATGAAACGTGATTTTGTCACTATGTGTTCTTGAGTTGCCAGAGTTTGTACTAGAATTATTCAGTTTCTGAATGTGGTCTTGATAGATCATTTGTTCACAATGCATTACATGGCAAAAGTTAGGGAAATCTAGCCAAGTAGTACGTACCTTTCAATTCTGGTAGCACAACCAGGGTTGAATCTGCAACAAAATTTATGGTTTCTATTTAAAAAGAAAGTTTGGGTTTTTGTTCAGGTTGCGAGATATCGGCCTTGGATATCCCTTCCTCCTCTGTGATTGCGGCTGAACTGATCCTCCAGCTCTAGTGAAGATAAATACTAGCCCTGCATAAAGCCCAGTGGGCCCCTCCTAAGTGTGAGGGCCATGGGAGTGTTAGTCTTCCAAAAAAAGCTGCTGCCAGGAAACATATTACAAAATATTAAGGTTCCAGATTCAAACTAAACCACAAGTGTTAATGTGTCCTTGCTGAGGATCTCAGGTTAGGATTCACTCTGGAACTTTGTCTGAGTTTGGCCTTAAGGGATTATTCACATTTGTTTCATCTTCCGTCATGTTTTTAGTAACTTTTTTCATTTTATCTTGAAGGACATTGCATTAGAAATGTTCAGTTAAGGCAATAATTCCCCATTACTGTTCGCTGTTGTTTCCTATAAGATTACAACATTGGCTGAAAACATAAACTGTAGAAATGTTGATAATCATAAAATCTTCAAATTCCAACCTGGTTCCAACTTCTCAAAAATATTTTCATTATCATGCGTCTTTGGGTTTGTGCGTGCGGGAAACTGTTATTTTTCCCAATTTTCTTCAATTTTTTAGACCAGTGTTTAGTCGAATGAATCGGGAAATAATCTGCGTATCACCTGCCAAAGTCAGGTTTATTACGGAACATCAATCATTAGGTTTGCTTAGACTCGTGGGTGTTGATCAGAAGACTCCACCCTCCAACCTATGCTTCATAAACTGCTGCGTGAACTCTGGGAGCCGCAGATCAATGACCATATATTTCCTATTGCCTATCTGCAGAAACATACATTTTGTGGCTCAGTATGAGACCCGTTGTGATCCAGTAGCTCTCTTTACTGTATATGTGGACTGTTTTGACGGAATGAAGAAGCTCAAAATGTGAAAAGCATAAAAGAAAACAGAGCCCCAATTTAAAAGCTATTCTGAACCCTGCAGGCTTTGATTAGCTTTTTTACAGGGTTGGAGTGGTTTGCTCTGCTTTAGGACTGGCTGGCTGTCTGCTGCAGAGTGACTTAAGATTTGCTGTGTTTATGGCTCTCCGTTTGCTAAATAGGTCAGACATGGAGCAATGTTCTTTCCTTCTTTCCTCTGCCACCTCTCTGCTCTCTTTAATTGTCTGGCGGCCCGTCTGTTTTATGGGAATGGGTTTGGTCTGTCTTCCATAAATAACATCTATACCACTCCGGCCTCGGGTAAATATCTAATTTCTATATGTCTCTCTTCGCTTTGCTAGCTGAGCCCCTCGTCCACTACTCCTCTCCTCCATCAATCCATCCATCTATCCATCCGTCTAGAATCCTGCAACTACACAAGGCTGTATTTGTGCTGAATAATTGATTGGCTGACGCACTGTTGGCCTGACTACTACATTCCTATATTCACAAATCACGAGTAGCAGTAGTGTAGCAGCAGCAGCAGCAGCAGCAGCAGCAGCAGCAGCAGCAGCAGCAGCAGCAGCAGCAGCAGCAGCAGCAGCAGCAGCAGCAAGGGAGGCCTGTGCAGAGGGAAGCTAACAGATATACAGCCTCTATCACTGCTGACACTCCGTAATGCCGCCCTGCTTCTGCAACAACGCTCTTTTAATATTGTTCTGTTTACAGGATTGACCAGGTCAATTCAGATAAAATAAATGCATATCATTTGAACATGTTTTTGGTTTAAATTTGACCAACGCTTATTACAATAATTAAAAAACATTTGAATTCACCATGTGGGGATCTCTCTACATATTGTTTTGATTCTTTTAGCTTATAGTTTTGGTTTGATGGCACATTTCCAGAAAACATTGTTCAAGTCATACACATTTTTTCAGTATCAAACATAGACACACTAACTTGATCAAGCTATTTGAAGTACATTTACCATAAGTCATTGCCATCTTGAGCCCTGGTCCTGCGGTATCGTAGAAAAACGAGTTCCATGCCCTTTTTGTGAATTTTTGGCATTGACTTGGTAGTAAAGTATGGGATCTTTTGACATTTATAGTAGAAACCGTGCCAAAAAAACACAAACTGCCATCATGTTATTGCCATTTTGAGCACTTGTTCTGTAATTTCGTAGAAGAACGAATTCCATACCTATTTCAGAATTTTGGCAACGACTTGGTAGTAAAGTATGGATTCTTGTGACATTTTTGGTAGAAACCGTGCCAAAACACCACAAACTGGCATTATGTTGGTCAGGTTTTGCGGCATTACCATTGTACTTAGCTAGTGATTATACCGAATCCATGACATGAACTCACTGCTGTGTGCCGAGTGAAAGTCATTTTAGCTGCAATTGGAAAATTAAATTTAGTACAGGATCGAGTTCTAAAAAAACATAACTAAAGTTAAGAAGAATGTCTTCTTTCCTCCCCTGACTTCCCACCCCTTTCTTCCACTTGTCCACAACATTTCACTGTTTTTTCCAGCATTCTAGTGACTGAATCAGTTGTGATACCTAATAGCTCTAACAAGCTCATAGCACTAATCAATCCATAACCCTATGTGACTCGGTGCGACTGTGAACACCCTCCTACATTTGCCAACCTGACGCCGTACACTTCCCTGAGGGGAGCTGTTTTCCGGCTCCATGCCACATTAATTATGACAGCAGGCTAATGAATCCCTGATGGTGTTCTCGTCACTATCTACCTACAGGTATATAGAACTGTTAAGGTAATCAGAGCTCATGCTGAACCTAACAGGCTAATAGCATGCAGAGCGCGGTTCTGCTGTGATAAGGCAGCTCGTGTCTTTTATCTTCAGCTTTGGCTCTCTACACTCTGTTCCTCTTTCATGTAAATGAGCAATGCAATTAGACGTAAACCAGAAGACTAGACATAACTGGTTCGTTCTGCTCAAAGGCTTTGATCAGAAGAGCTTGGTCAAGTAAAACAAATGTAATACAGCATCCTCCATTTTATCGCTGTGAAGAGTGTGTGACAAGAACTGAGGGACCTGGGGCTCTAGTGGAGCCTCGCAGCGGCGAAACTGTGGCGCTCTAAGTGCGCCGCATTTGCGCTTCAGATGAGGCTCCCTCCGCGAGGTGAGGCCCCACGCAGTCTGCGTGATCTGCGTGTAGGGAGGGCCGTGTATAATAACGTCATATTAAATGCAGTAATTTGGTCTTTAGCAACAGCTTGTGAGAGCAGCGGATTCATCGGTGTTCGTTTCAATGCTGCCAGTTTGTTGACGGCCTGTGTGTTGATGGGACTTCTCATGCTCCCTACATTTTCCCCCTGCCTTTCGCAAGTTGTTAAACCCTGCTTTCACAAAACTCCCATCCCTGACCTTGTCTGCACTGACAAGCTTCTTTTCTATAGCAGATCAACAGAAAAAGCACACCGCATTATCACTTTCTCTTATATAGTGAAGCGTTTTATAGACTGCTTTCACTAAAATGCTAACTCAAAAATAGTAACTCAAAATAAAACGTTTGTATTGATTTGTTTAGTGAACTTTTTGGCGTTGCAGTTACAACTCTCCGCCAACAGATGGGGGTGCTGCAGCCCCCTCAGCACCCCCCCTTCCCGCGTCCATGCTCTAGTTTTACTTCGGTATGTGCTGGTGAAAAGGCCAATGATGGCATGTTCAAAGACAGAGGTAGTGAGATTGGAAGGTAGGGCTAGCATGAAGTAATGAGCCGTGTGGGTTGCCCCTCTACCAGTAAGTGTACTTAGTTTAACAGTACTTTATTAGGTTTTCCGCTTTTACTCGCTTCTACTTGCCATTCCTTAGAATCGACGATACACTACTGTCAATGAAAGTCATACTTCCTTCCAGAAAAGGGAGAAATATGCCATAAAATAAAGGTATGAACCCTAACCCTAAGGCTTACAAATTAATCATCAGCAAAGAAAGTGTTGAGCGTGGCATAACGGAGAAGAAGAACTGACACAACAAAGAAGAAAAGACTGATTACAAATTGTAATTGATCCAATGAAATCACATTTCCTTTTAACTTGCTACATGTTATGGAACATCTACCACCAAACTGATAGCTTAGATGATAACATACAAATATGATTCATATAGGCGACGAGGCTAGACCAACAACACACCATTACCTTCGGATTGCATGCTCCATTGTGTGTTTTTCACCTGCCACACAGGGATACATATCAAACAGAGGTTGTCAATAGCAATCACAGTTTTTAATTGAGCACCAGGCAGTTTGAGTTTGTCCGCGTCGGTGTTGAGCCGGGCAGCGGATCAATGTGATCAGGGAGGTGATGAAACGCTGCTGCACTGGATAATGACTGGGAGATCAAACATAATGAGGGAGAGAGAGTCTGGAGGGACAGCAGAAAAAACCCACATAGCCGTAATGGCCAT